TATAATCAGCCTAACAACTGATGACTAATAATACTTTATTTTGCCTTCTGCAACTACTTCTAATTCACTCAAAAGTTAAATTCTGACTGGGCAGGTCCAAGTGAGGAGCCTGGGATAGGTTTTGTGAGGTTATCTAAACTGAGTTTGATTCTGTGACTCCCAAGGCCATGGACAGGATTCTCCAATCTGTCAATACAGTCTCTTTTCTATTATCTCTTGATCTTTCCTTGGTTGTTAAGACAGCCACGAGGTGATCCAGAGATAGGTCTGAGAAACAGCGTCATCCTTTTTGAGGGATGGTGTGATACTGGTCTTGAAGGAGGCAGTGAAAGAAGCTGCAGCTGGTACAAAATGCACTGTCAAGTGCAGCAATGGGTCCATGTGTCATCACTGCTACTACACAAGCTACACTTGTTGCCAGTTGGCCTCTAAGTACAACTCAAGGTGCTTATCATCACCTTTGAATATAGAGCATATGGCCTAGTTATTTGAGGATCCACCCATCTCTAATGGCCTCTCTCTCTCTACCTGGCATATTTGCACAGAGTGGGTGCATTGTAGTATCTGTCTGTTAAACATGTTGTGCGACCAAGGAAGTTGTCCATCCTCTCTGAAACAGCTTTCCCTAGAGATACAAGTGACACTGAATTTACTGAAGTTTCTTAAAAACTTGCTTTGCTTTACTGCCCTGGAGCTAATTTGTTTATTGTTGTATTTGTTGAGCCCTGTTGTATTTGTACATTTTTATTTTAGTTATTTTAATCTGGGTTGTCTATTTATGTGTGCTTATGTTCATTTAATTATTTTTATTGTTTCTAAATTTTGTTAATTAGCTAAAGCCTAATAATGTGGATGACTATTACAAATTTAATAAATTAAATTAAAAATTAAATTAAAGAATAAATTATACATAATTTGAATGTAATTTTTAAAGAACTGACTACAATTTGCCACATCTTAGCCTCAGAAACAGTATAGATCTTAGGGTTTGTAGGAGTTTGGCCAACTGGCAATGTTTTAATATTTACATATATTATTATGCAATTATTTACACCATGCAGTTTATGAAAGAAAATGTTTTGAGTTATAAATGTTCGGCATAGCTGTTTTAATAAAGATTTAAAGATTTAAAACAGGTAAATTTACATAATGCTGGGATATTGTGTCAACTATAGTTATCTAACAAGCCAAATTTTAAAGCTTTTAACCTGTTTTTGGTCCATAGGCCAAGCAAATCATGTTATGTTTCCCAATTCTGAACCCTTCATATGTGTTTTAAATCCTCCATATGGTAGACATTTAAAAAGACATACAAAAAGAAAGGATGCATGTCTATTCTAAATGCTGAAATGACTGAGATAGACTGTAAAACATGTCAAATTGTGCATTTCTCTTCATATAAAATAAGTTCATTTGTCTATTTCTTTTCTGGATATTCTCTATGAAAAATACATTCATATAACCCTCAGAATCATCCATTAATGTAGATGTTCCACTTTAACTTAAAGTATATACTTCATTCTAAGTGAAAGAGCATCTTTATTCTTCTGATTTAACGAAATTACAGAACTTCAAAGATTACAAGTGACATTATGGAATTTGAATTGTTTTTATGATTACAATTATATTCATCATGGAGGTAATATGGACATGTTCACAGTTCTTGAGGACTAAAGAAACTAAAAGAAGTGGACAGAAATTATATGAAAAGCATAGGATAATTTTCCTGTAATATTTAAACTACTACTATTTACAAATATGAATTCTAAACCATCATAGACATATTAAACATGTGAGTAAAATTAAACAGAATTTATTAAGTTGGTGGTTTAAACTGAACTGATCATGCAGTAACACCCTAACATTTTCTATTAACCTAAGTTATACATATATTATATAGATAATTAATTTCAGAACATTTAAATCGCTACTGTTTGTTTCCTATTACCCCAAAAAATCACAATTCAAGCTAAGCATACCAGACACATACAATAACTGAGGCTTAAAGTGAGAGAAAAAAAGTAGGTCACTCTATGCTTCCTCAGAAATAGGTCAAAATTTTAACGTCATTCACAAGATATAAAGATTTTAATATTTTTGTGGCCTTTGTCATTTTATATCTATTTATTGTAGAATAAAACCATAAGATTGAATAAATCTGATTTATTCTATTTTTAATTTTAAATGGCAGTTAAATGAATATTTTATTGCAAGATAAAAAAAATTACTGGACAATTTATCAAATATTATTTGCATACGGATAGTCTTAAGCATTTATCAATATTATTAAGCTCTTCAGATACTATAGTTATTTTGGCTGCCATTCATAGATTTTTGAGAAGGATGTGGTAATGTAAAATTAGCTGTTTTCCAGACTTTCCTCTGAAGAGAAGTTACCAATCAGGCAAATATACTGTAGTCTAATAATTGTACCTGGGAACATGCATTTTTCAACTCACATCCATGCAGTTAATGTTCATTTATGTACTTCAATGTTATTTAGATTGGATAAGTATATGTAGAATTGTAATTGCTGATTGCTATAAAATTATTATACATTTCTTTCTCCTGCATTTTTTCATTTTAAATATTTTTTATGTGTAGTTTTTGTATATATTTGCATGTATGTAACTTAACTTTGTGTTTTATCTCTTTCTGTTTTTCTGCAGCTATTACTTTAAGGGTTCTCCAAAGTGATTAGTATTGATCCCAAGGACTATCCAAAAGACAATTATTATTAGTCACAGTACTATTAATTAAAGTAGAATTTATTAAATTATTTTCATATAATAGATGTTTGGGGTTTAATGAACAATCGGAAATTTCATAAAGGGTCAATGAGTTGCGAACTTTGCTTTAAGGTAAAGGATTTTTTACAAGGCAAACTCTAGCCAAAGAAGCCAACTTTCAAAGCCTTGCATGTCAGATTACTGTATCACGCAGTAATATACAAATGTAATATAGATGCAAACTGTCACAGATAATTTACATGTGACTAGAAATGAACCATTGCTTAAATAATTAATTTTAAGCTCACTTAAGCATTTTATTAGTTATAACAATGTGACTAGAAACTTCATATAGTAAATAGGACCAACAATCATCTCTCTGTTATATAATTTCAGAAGATTGTTTATATATATATATATATACACACATACATATATATATACATACACACACACACACACACACACTAAACTAAAAGTACTGTAATATCTGAAATTCTGTAGTCGCTTTAAAATATAAATTAAGTTCAATGCATTTTTCAAAATTTCATTTTATAAAATATAAAACACAGGATACTTAAACTTGTGATATAAAATTTGTCTCCAAATGGTTCTTTCATCTGTAATTTCTATCCTTTGTTTATGCCGAGAGAATCCAGATGACACTTACATTATTAAACTCCAGTGTTTTTTATTCCCTTCAAGGCCTGTGGTGTTATTTTTGA